TATTTTTTTTAACAAGAAAATAGTTCTATTTCATTATTCATTCACACGATAATTTCGTTATATTTAATCGTTCGTGTATACGATAATAGAGAATAGTGAAGGAAAAGGGAGAATAAGACAGTTACTGTGGCAGAAACAGAGAAAGGGACGGTTAGGAAGAAATAAGAAGAGATACAAATTCTCTTCCCTGTGTTTGTTTATAACAAACATGGCAGAAGCAGACAGAGACAGTCAGAGAAAGAAAGAAGACATACTACCAATTCGCTTCCCTGTCTCTCTCACACGCACACATACACACACATACACAACATATTAAATGTAGCAGCACAGTTAAAGTGTTCTTGAAGAGCCGCGACAAGAGCACAATCCAACACAGCGATAGAATAACTACTTCCTCTTGTTGCCTACCCCCCACCGCCCCCGTCCTCTGACATTCCCATAACGAAGTCACACACGCATGATTTCAAAAGCCCCAAGTCGACCCACTCCACTTACTCCAACATGACAACGAAGTTGCAAAAGCTCAACTTGAGACACTTTAGCCAGGCTGTATTTTTACGAGTGATTTCATGGGCGTCGCTAGAGATTATAGTGTCTGTTATTATGTGAAGGGTTATGTGAGTCAGCCACTGCGACACGTCACTGTCAACTGCTTCAAGTGGTTGTTTGTTTTTGTTTTTACATCATACGTACACGAATCGTTATTTGTGCATGTGTGATGTTTATAAACAAAAAAAAAAAACAAAAAAAAATACAGTGTTTAATTTTATAAAAAGCCGAACATCGGGTTTCATCCGTTTTACAAGTAGTGATTCTCTACAGCATAAGAGGAGGCACACATTGAGAAACACATCCCCGTCTAATTACTTATTAAATATCTTGAAAAGTACACTTGGTTATGATTTTTTATGGCTGCTTGTTTCCAGTATATATATATTTATATATATATTTATATATATATATATATTGTTATTCACAAATATTTACCATCATTGTTTAAGGTGTTTACAGTTCTAATGATTTCTTCAGGTTTCACTTTATCAAATAAAGCATAAATACATATCTCTGTTAGCGTTTTTGGCTTAGGCGTTGCGAACGAGCTTCGTAATGCCGGGGTGCCGGGTTCGATCCCAGCTGCGGACGGTTTGCCTTGCGCTGGTTTCGACAGCGGTACCGAGAGCTGAGAATCAGGGGCAGTGGCAAACAACTAAACGTATTTGCCTAGAAAAACCACAACAGCAACAACAACAAAATGCTGGGAACGGCTCTGCAACGTCCTGTAAAGGATACACAATTAACATATCTCTGTTTATATAAATAATTCTTTCTATATGTCTTCCTAACATAAATATGGCCTTGTTTTTTGCTTTTGCCTTCTTCTCATTATAATGCTCGTTAATATTTTCGTTATGTGACTCAGAGGGAACCGATTGTTTGATGTTCTCACAATCCACTTCACAATGCAGTTTTAATAAAGGTATGAAAAAAAGAGATTTCACCAGACAGTGAACAAAGAATAAATAAAAGATCACCATATGTCCCCTGTTATAAATATCATTCAACAAATTTGTCAACACTTCTAAACCTAGTTCACCAACGCCTTTTGATTATAGCGAATCTTTATGGACCTGGAAATCTACATTTCTTCCTGTGGTGTATAACATCTTCTACTTCTGTTTTCAGTAAAAGCTTTTCAAGCCACTAACTGCTGGATATTTGTTCGTCTGATAGTTCTTGTATTTTAAAGAAAACTAAAAGAAATGTCCACAGAAAAAAGTGGCTGTCACACACAAAAAAACATTAAATGATGAAAAAATTGTGAAAATGTCACAAACTTTGAATATCTAGGCTCTATAATAAATAGCAATGGAGACTGTTTGACAGAAATTAAAAAGAGAATGGCCATAGCAATAGAAAGATTAAACAGCATTAGAAGTCTATGGTTAAGTACCAGGAGGAAAATCACAATTAAAATGTTGATAGTCTGGATCTTCCCTGTAGCAAAGTATGGATGTGAGTCGTGGACTATCTCTCAGTCTGGATCTTCCCTGTAGCAAAGTATGGGTGTGAGTCATGGACTATCTCTCAGTCTGGATCTTCCCTGTAGCAAAGTATGGGTGTGAGTCATGGACTATCTCTCAGTCTAGATCTTCCCTGTAGCAAAGTATGGATGTGAGTTGTGGACTATCTCTCAGTCTGGATCTTCCCTGTAGCAAAGTATGGGTGTGAGTCATGGACTATCTCTGTCTGGATCTTCCCTGTAGCAAAGTATGGATGTGAGTTGTGGACTATCTCTCAGTCTGGATCTTCCCTGTAGCAAAGTATGGGTGTGAGTCATGGACTATCTCTCAGTCTGGATCTTCCCTGTAGCAAAGTATGGGTGTGAGTCGTGGACTATCTCTGTCTGGATCTTCCCTCTAGCAAAGTATGGGTGTGAGTCATGGACTATCTCTGTCTGGATCTTCCCTCTAGCAAAGTATGGATGTGAGTCATGGACTATCTCTCAGTCTGGATCTTCCCTCTAGCAAAGTATGGGTGTGAGTCATGGACTATCTCTCAGTCTGGATCTTCCCTGTAGCAAAGTATGGGTGTGAGTCATGGACTATCTCTGTCTGGATCTTCCCTGTAGCAAAGTATGGGTGTGAGTCATGGACTATCTCTCAGTCTGGATCTTCCCTGTAGCAAAGTATGGGTGTGAGTCATGGACTATCTCTCAGTCTGGATCTTCCCTCTAGCAAAGTATGGGTGTGAGTCATGGACTATCTCTCAGTCTGGATCTTCCCTGTAGCAAAGTATGGGTGTGAGTCATGGACTATCTCTGTCTGGATCTTCCCTCTAGCAAAGTATGGGTGTGAGTCATGGACTATCTCTGTCTGGATCTTCCCTGTAGCAAAGTATGGGTGTGAGTCGTGGACTATCTCTCAGTCTGGATCTTCCCTGTAGCAAAGTATGGGTGTGAGTCATGGACTATCTCTCAGTCTGGATCTTCCCTCTAGCAAAGTATGGGTGTGAGTCATGGACTATCTCTCAGTCTGGATCTTCCCTCTAGCAAAGTATGGATGTGAGTCGTGGACTATCTCTGTCTGGATCTTCCCTGTAGCAAAGTATGGGTGTGAGTCATGGACTATCTCTGTCTGGATCTTCCCTCTAGCAAAGTATGGGTGTGAGTCATGGACTATCTCTGTCTGGATCTTCCCTCTAGCAAAGTATGGGTGTGAGTCATGGACTATCTCTCAGTCTGGATCTTCCCTCTAGCAAAGTATGGATGTGAGTTGTGGACTATCTCTCAGTCTGGATCTTCACTGTAGCAAAGTATGGATGTGAGTCATGGACTATCTCTCAGTCTGGATCTTCCCTCTAGCAAAGTATGGGTGTGAGTTGTGGACTATCTCTCAGTCTGGATCTTCACTGTAGCAAAGTATGGATGTGAGTCATGGACTATCTCTCAGTCTGGATCTTCCCTCTAGCAAAGTATGGGTGTGAGTCATGGACTATCTCTCTGTCTGGATCTTCCCTGTAGCAAAGTATGGGTGTGAGTCGTGGACTATCTCTCAGTCTGGATCTTCACTGTAGCAAAGTATGGATGTGAGTCATGGACTATCTCTCAGTCTGGATCTTCCCTCTAGCAAAGTATGGGTGTGAGTCATGGACTATCTCTCTGTCTGGATCTTCCCTCTAGCAAAGTATGGGTGTGAGTCATGGACTATCTCTCTGTCTGGATCTTCCCTCTAGCAAAGTATGGGTGTGAGTCATGGACTATCTCTCTGTCTGGATCTTCCCTCTAGCAAAGTATGGGTGTGAGTTGTGGACTATCTCTCAGTCTAGATCTTCCCTGTAGCAGAGTATGGGTGTGAGTCATGGACTATCTCTCAGTCCTTAAGACAGAAAATAGGAGCTTTTGAGCTGAAATCTTCTTAGCGTTCACCAGCTGTAAACTCTGGCGGAAAGTTTTGATTGTTCTCCAATTCTGGACTGCAGTCCTGTTCCAGAACCTGATGAGCTGAAATGCTATAGAAAGATTCTCAGAATACCGTGGACAAAGAAGGGAATAAATACTGACATTTTAAAAGATCCTAACATCAAGGAAGATTGCCTAATAAACAGGATCTTGTCTCGGAAGCTGAAATATTTTAGTCATATCAAGTGCCATGGCAGATTGGAAAGAATCATAGCAGAAGACAGAAAGGAGGGGCAGGGGCCAACCAACTTGAAGATGGGCACAGGATATAAGCGACTCCTTGAATTTGAAAGTACATGAGGCGGAAGAACTGGCGAGAGACCGAGTTTCCTGAAGCGGACTGTGATGAGAGCGACCTTTTGTAATATGCCTGCTGTATGATGATGATGATGAGTTCTTGTATCCTTTTTACATGTCTTGTGTGCTCTTTGTACTTCAGTTTCTCTGCTGTTATTATTTAGCCAAGCTTCTTTAACAGAATTAAATCTGTGTACTATTTCTCTATTATATTCTTGTATATTCATCTTGGTTGTGTCTACTTATCCTTCTATTCTCCATCAGATGTAAAATCTGCAGCCATCTTTACTTTTGGTATTATTTCTTTTGTTATCTGTTGTATAGACTCCTTTTTTTAAGTGCCGCGTTAGCGCAGTCGATATGAGACTCACTTTCAAATTCAGCTGCCACTCGCTGCAGCCCATGATCGGTGTTCAAAACCGGGCGGCTTCCGAGGTTCACCCAGCCTCTAGGAAATGGGTACTAGTGTTCACACTCTGGGGTAAATGGAGGAATGTCGTTGTAGCTACAGAGTTACGTTGTAGCTACAGAGTTACGTGCGGACGGCGACACAGGCGGACAATTTCTTATCAATTGTCCGTACGGGTGGCAGAGCACTAATGATTTATAATCGTGTGCAATGACACTGGTTCACATCTCCCGACTTTACCTTTTTTTTTTTAATTGACTCCTTAAGCATTTGCCATTGTTCCTCTAAAATGCTTATCTTTATGATGTTTCAATGAGTTAATCGTCTTTGTTCCAGAAACAAGGCAAATGGTGTGCTGTCCATGTGCGGGTGGCCTGGGAGATTTTCCACAGACAGCAGAAAAAGCTGCAGAGAGACCAGGATGGGACTGCCAGTTCATCGTCTGCCTCCTCCGCCTTAAAATCTGCAGCAGACTCTAAGCCTCTAGAACCATTGCTGCGACCTCCAAGTAATCTCTTGCCTGCAGCATCAGCTGTTATCAGGCCACCAGGGTCACCTTTGTTGGCTTCAGGTATAGAAATGTTTTTATTTATCAAACACAGTTCTTCTTTGTCAACTTTGCATTCCCTGGCAGAAAGTTCGAGTTGCTCATCCACTTCTGGACTTTAGTCTTGTTTCTGAACCTGCGTTTTGTGTGCCCATTCGTTTTTGCAGATCTGGCTTGTTTGTATTCCTGGCCTCACAGGCAGATGCACTTTGACTTTGAAGGAAATAACCGTAATCAGTCGACTCTTACAACCTGCTTGTTAGGGGACAGTGGGTCTGTTCCATCGCCCCTCCTCCAGCCGGTGAAAGTGAGGCTCCGGAACCCCCATGGGGACACAACAGGGCCTTGCCACACAGGACAAACATAATTCAGTCGGTCATGAGTTGTCTCTGCCGGCGTGATGCTGACCATATCAGCCACCAAGTGTTGATTGGTCTATATATAGAATATAGGACTAGCCCTATATACCCAAATCACCTGAAAGGCGTGGAAAAGGGTCCTTTACTTTTACTAATTGTTGTCTCGGTATTAAGGGTCAAGTACAATAGGTCATCAGCATTCTCTCATCCTGTTAGTACACCCGCTTAAACTGCTTCTTGTTCGTCCATTTGTTCCTACTTCACCCCCCTCGCTTATGTGGTCTCTACACTGAAGGCTGAGTACAATGGATCAACACTCACTATCTCTTAACCTATACACTTTCTCAGACTGCTGTTGATGCTCCCATTTAAATCACTGTATCCATTCCTTATCTACCTTCAGCTTTTCCCTCCATGATGGGTTTTTTATTAGTCTTTTAACATTACAAAAATACTTAACTCTTTTTTAATATCTTTAGCAACTATCTCTAATCATACCACGTCTGTCCTTTGTATTTAAGAAATATGAACTATTCTTCTGTGTATTTGCAGGATGTCAACTAACATTTTAATTGCTTGTTTATCATCCACTTGTTTGTGCCACATTGTATGATAAGCATACACACAATTGCCTGATAAGATTACTGTCCACTGGTTTCTGTTCCATCAGTGCAGTGCTTTCAGCAAGATAACAGTTGCTCTGCTGAAAGTTGGGCCCTTGTCCACACCTTCAGGTATATAGGGCTAGACCTGTATTTTAGGGACAAATCGGCACTGGATGGGCAGTGTGGTCAGCATCATGCTGGTCACCTTGACTTACCTGGAGCCAGTGTCATTTTGTTTTTCAAACTAAATTCCAGCTCCTTTTGAATTCTACCCCATGACATTTGAATCCACAGGTGAGCGTCCAGCCACTGCACATTGGCAGCTCCCTCAGCAGAAATAAACAAGGGTATATATAGGATGCAGGGCCTAATTCTTTAAGAAGTTGACGGCACCTGTCTGTCTTTCCAGACGACATGTTATATTATGCTATGAGGAAGAATTGCACTCACAGCCCGTGGCGATGGCGAATGTGACTAGCAAGACCCGCCTCAATTAAGATAAGGCTTCTACAATTATAGAATGTAATTTCAGCACCATTGTTGAAATTATTCATTTAAGTGTGTTTCTCCTGACTTTCAGTTCTCATCCGTTCTGCAGTCACTTAGTCCTTCAGTCTCATTCCCTTCCTCATATACCCTCTCCACACAACACAGTCCATGGCCTTTTTTCCCTTGATTCCATCTCAGTACCTGTATCATTCATATCCCACTTGGAGACATCTTTAAGAAGTAAAGAGCACAGAATGAAGGATTATGATTCAGTGCAACCAGATAGACGCTGTTGATGTTGCATCTACCCAAATGGACACTGTTGATGTTGCATCCACCCAAATGGACACTGTTGATGTTGCATCTATGCAAATGGTCACTGTTGATGTTGCATCAATGCAAATGGTCACTGTTGATGTTGCATCTACCCAAATGGGCACTGTTGATGTTGCATCTATGCAAATGGTCACTGTTGATGTTGCATCTACCCAAATGGGCACTGTTGATGTTGCATCTACCCAAATGGGCACTGTTGATGTTGCATCTACCCAAATGGACACTGTTGATGTTGCATCTACCAAAATGGACACTGTTGATGTTGCATCTACCCAAAATGGACACTGTTGATGTTGCATCTACCCAAATGGACACTATTGATGTTGCATCTACCCAAATGGACACTGTTGATGTTGCATCTACCCAAATGGACACTGTTGATGTTGTATCTACCCAAATGGACACTGTTGATGTTGCATCTACCCAAATGGACACTGTTGATGTTGCATCTACCCAAATGGACACTGTTGATGTTGCATCTACTACTATGTTGTCAGAGTTGATAATTCTCATTATTTGTATTCAAATGAAAATGTTTTCAGGAGCCCGAAGTTTACCAGAGGGTGCCCATGCAAGTTCCAGTTTTTTATCACCAGCTGCTAATTTAGGTACATAACTTTTCAATATTTGTTATAGCAGTGGTCAACTTTTAATATAGCAGTGGTCAACTGTCAATATAGCAGTGGTCAGCTGTCAATATAGCAGTGGTCAGCTTTCAATATAGCAGTGGTCAACTGTCAATATAACAGTGGTCAATATAGCAGTGGTCAACTGTCAATATAGCAGTGGTCAACTGTCAATATAGCAGTGGTCAGCTGTCAATATAACAGTGGTCAGCTGTCAATATAGCAATGGTCAGCTGTCAATATAGCAATGGTCAGCTGTCAATATAGCAGTGGTCAGCTGTCAATATAACAGTGGTCAGCTGTCAATATAACAGTGGTCAGCTGTCAATATAGCAGTGGTCAGCTGTCAATATAGCAGTGGTCAACTGTCAATATAGCAGTGGTCAGCTGTCAATATAACAGTGGTCAGCTGTCAATATAACAGTGGTCAGCTGTCAATATAGCAGTGGTCAGCTGTCAATATAGCGGTGGTCAGCTGTCAATATAGCAGTGGTCAGCTGTCAATATAGCAGTGGTCAACTGTCAATATAGCAGTGGTCAGCTGTCAATATAACAGTGGTCAGCTGTCAATATAGCAGTGGTCAGCTGTCAATATAGCGGTGGTCAGCTGTCAATATAGCAGTGGTCAGCTGTCAATATAGCAGTGGTCAACTGTCAATGGAAATTAATGTCTACTTAGTTAAATTCTGAGATGGCTTTATGTACCTAATGTAATACATAGCAGTATCTTAAAACTCGTTGTTTTTATTTATATATATATATATATATATACACACACACATGCGCGCAGACACACACACACACAAGAGAGAGAGAGAGACAGACATAGAGGTATGCATTAAATTGGACTCAGTTGGAATAAAAAAGAGTCTATAGTAACTTTGGACCTCATTGGAATACATAGTAGTATATTTACTATGGTGAAAAAAATATTTTCCTAACTCAAGTTAGATAAGGCAGCATCACTTTCTCTTTGAGTGTGAATGACTGTTGAATTAAGACAAAGTGCTTCAAATACAGTGTTTGGCACTGCTGTCTGAATTATTGAGAGAAATGGCCATGCCAAAATAGACACATTTTGGTCTGCTACCAGATCCCCTGCAGTGAAATCTAACCTGTTATATTGGAATTATGAAACTGCGTTCATAACCCTCCAAAGCACAGATACCGACTTTCTCTGACTTATGTTTAAATATTTCCTTGATCACCTCTTGTCATGTTTAGTCTTTTCTTGGTCACCCTCATGAAGAGTGTTGCCTGCAGCCCCATGGCGGATGTATTGATCAAACCTTCAGGAGCGGAAAAGCATAATATAACCCACCATTTAACATGAGACAGAAAAGGAATTTGTGGACAAGATATTATGGCAAGACTGCAACTAAACATGGCCCTTGTGCAAGGATGACACATTCAGGAAGCATTAAGTATTTATTTCTCCCATGTATAACCCGGGCTCTCAGAGGAAGCGAAGAATAGTAACACTATACCATTCATTTTTCAGAGTCGATTAAGGTAGACTAGCTAGCTAGTTAGTTAACTCCTTGAGTCCCAATGAACGCGTCATATGTTCATAGATTCGTACCTAGAAGCCCAATGAACTCAAGATGCGCCGATTTTACGTCATTCTTGACTACCCCTTGGGCCTGTGATGCTAAACCCCCTGGGACTCAAGGAGTTAATCAACAATTTGTCAAAGCTAGTTAGTTAGTTAATCAACAATCTGTCATAGCTAGTTAGTTAATCAACAATTTGTCACAGCTAGTTAGTTAATCAACAATTTGTCATAGCTAGTTAGTTAGTTAATCGACAATTTGTCATAGCTAGTTAGTTCATTAATCAACAATTTGTCATAGTTAGTTAGTTAATCAGCAATCTGTCATAGCTAGTTAGTTAATCAACAATTTGTCATAGCTAGTTAGTTAGTTAATTGACAATTTGTCATAGCTAGTTAGTTAATCGACAATTTGTCATATCTAGTTAGTTAATCAACAATTTATCATAGCTAGTTAGTTAGTTCATGCGTTTAATAATAGAGAAGTGTAGAGAATTTAATGTAAATCTGTTCTTATGTTTTGTGGATTATTCAAAAGCATTTGACTGTGTACAACATCAGAAGCTTTGGGAAATCATGAGGAATATGGGCTTTCCATCACATATAGTGCAGCTCATTAAAATGCTCTATCAAGACCAACAAGCAGCAGTCAGAATAGATGGAGAGACATCAGACTGGTTTGGCATCAAGCAAGGAGTCCGTCAGGGATGTGTGCTGTCACCGTATTTGTTCAACCTGTACGCCGAAAATATAATGAGAAATGTAAGAGATGATATAAACAAGGAACAATATGATGCCCTAAACATCGGTGGTCATGAAATACCAGAAATTTGTTATGCTGATGATACAGTATTACTATCAACATCACAAAATGGTTTAGAAAACTTATTAACCTCACTCCAAAGAAATAGTGAAAATCATAACTTATTTCTTAACACAGCAAAAACAAAGATAATGCATACAAACAAAACTGCCATGGAGAAGGAAATATATGTTAATGAGGAAAGATTGGAAGTGGTGGAAAATTTTCGAATATCTTGGGTCACTGGTTACCAACAATGGTGACACAATGAAAGAAATTAAACGGCGACTATCAATTGCTCTTCAAAGACTAAAACAACTGAATAAATTATGGAATTGTACAGATAGAATTACAAAGGTCAGATTTTTAAGAGCATGCATCTTTCCCATTGCAACATACGCCTGTGAGACCTGGACACTTACTAAACAAGCGGAACAGCGCATAAATGCATTTGAATATAAATGTTACAGACAGGTTCTAAGAATATCTTGGGTAAAGAAAAGAACAAATGCATCCATACTTCAAGAGCTGAATATTGAAGAGGGTTGGCTAGTAAAGACAATAAAACAAAGAAAATTGAAATATTTTGGTCACTTGAAACGTCATGGAGGTCTAGAGAGAACAATAATGGAGGGGTATATGCCTGGGAAGAGAGGAAGAGGAAGGCCAAGGAGAAGATGGGTGCAGGATGTGGCAGATGATCTCCAGATGGGTGTATCAGACGCAGGACATCTTGCTCATGATAGGAAGGTTTTCCGGAGGGTTGTTATGGCAGCGAGGTTCCGCGAGGGACATGCTACTGAATGAATGAATGAATGAGTTAGTTAGTTAATCAACAATTTGTCATAGCTAGCTATGACACAAAGGTTAGGGGAACTGGAGAGAGAAGTTTAAAAGTTGAGGAGGACATGGGGTGAGATGCATGCAGTGGCAAAAACAAAGGGGGGGGGGGGGGGGGGGGGTTAGGTAGAAGAAGAAAAAGAATGAAGACAACTAATTTATAATGCAGTTTTCTCTGGTCATTTCTTCCATAAGAATAGGTGTAATATTAGTTGAGTCAACATAAAAACAAGAAATACATTTTGTTTTTAGTTAATGTACACTAAGCAGTTTGTTATATTGATTTTTGTTTTGTTTTCAGGCATGGCACCTTTTCCAAGACCATCTCCATACAATGTGCCATCTTTATTCAATCCCCTTGGCTTTAGTGGTCTTGGTAAGTACTTATAATTTTTTTTTCTTGACAATGTTTATCCATTGTAAATTACATTTGTGTGCACACATTTTTGTGCCCTAAATTGTATAGCTGTTCTTGGGTAATCTTGCCCAACTGATTCCAAACAATGTAATCAGATATTTTCTGTCAGTCATCTCTAGTTTTGAGATAACTAAGAATGACCTTCCTAGAAGAGCAGTTGTTGTGTGCAAGCCTAGAGTCCTAGAAGAGCAGTTGTTGTGTGCAAGCCTAGAGTCCTAGAAGAGCAGTTGTTGTGTGCAAGCCTAGAGTCCTAGAAGAGCAGTTGTTGTGTGCAAGCCTAGAGTCCTAGAAGAGCAGTTGTTGTGTGCAAGCCTAGAGTCCTAGAAGAGCAGTTGTTGTGTGCAAGCCTAGAGTCCTAGTAGAGCAGTTGTTGTGTGCAAGCCTAGAGTCCTAGTAGAGCAGTTGTTGTGTGCAAGCCTAGAGTCCTAGTAGAGCAGTTGTTGTGTGCAAGCCTAGAGTCCTAGTAGAGCAGTTGTTGTGTGTAAGCCTAGAGTCCTAGTAGAGCAGTTGTTGTGTGCAAGCCTAGAGTCTACTGCTATCAGTGGCATTTCTATGAAACCACATCTCTGTGACTTCTGCATAAAAGTAGCTTATTTGCACAAACATTTGTTGGACAAATGTGAACATAACAAAGCAAAAAACATTTTAAAAAACAATTTTTTTTTACTTTAGTAGTGCTTGGGGCATATTATACAAGACTAATGTTGTTACACATTAGTCAGCACCTAGTGGGTTGTTGTTATCGATCCAGCGGCGCATAAGCTTTCGCCCTTTGGCCCAATGCCATGTAGTGGAATTTGCATGTTTTCACAAGCTGTTCTTTTCCTCTGTACAAGGTGTTCCACTTGTCTGGTCTCGGAGGGAGTAGCGTTCTTCTTTTTTCACTGAGTTTTGGGCACTCAAAGAGATGGTGTTCAACAGTTTTGTAGGGGTAGTTACATAGCTGGCACTCTGGGGAGTGTTGTGGCTGTTTAGATGTCCATTGAGTGGAGTATGTTGCGTTCTAAGTCTGACGATGGTGGCCTGGTCCCTTCTTGTTAGATGGTTAATGCTGTCATTAGGATCAGGGCCAGCCATATGTCTATAAACCTCTCTTTCAGTGTCTCCCATGGCCCATCTGTCCAACCAAGTCTCTTTGTTTATAGCTCTTATAAGTGTTTTTGCTGTCTGGAGGGTTGTCGCTGTAGGTGGTTGTTCTTGTGTTGCTCCTTTCTTTGCCAATCTGTCAGCTCTGTCATTACCTAGTGTGCCGGAGTGACCTGGAATCCACTGCATCACTATTCTGATGTTGTATGAGGTAATAAGCTGATCAGCATCCAGGATTTTCTTGGCTATATCAGTTCTGCAGCGTTCACTGCCCTCCAGAGCTTGAAGGGCAGACATTGAATCTGTGAAGATGACAATATTTTGGACCTTTGAAGGGTAAACATCCATTACAGTCTTTAGGTGGTATACTGCTGTTTCCAGTGCAATTATTTCAGCTTCATAATTTGAACAGAATTCCCCGCATGCATCAAAAATCTCTTCAACAGATCCATCGGGATAACCTATGTAGATTCCGTAACCTGCTTTAATGGTAGCTTTAAATGCTGATCCATCAGTATAGACATGTATCTATTCTTGGGGGTAAGAATCAACGGTCTTTAGTGATGAGTTCATAAGAGCGATTGGGTCGGACTGTTTGGTTTCCTCGCCTACCAATTTAATTCGGACTTCTGGAGCTTTAAAGCAAGCATGTGGTGGTAGGTTTCTTGCAACATTCTGAATTCCTTGACGTCTTTCTGGGAGGTGGTATCTGTCCTGAATTTCATTAACACAGTGTAAAACCGATTTGTGCTTTATTCTTCGTTTGTATTCCCAGTTTTCTACAAGATGTCTATTAGGATGGTTACGATTTTTTCTAATGCATCTTTCATAAATTTCTAAAGTAGCTTTTTCTCTCCGCTACCCTAGGGGTTCCACATTTGTATGAATTTCACATGCAGCAGTTGGTGTAGACTTCATAGCTCCGCAGATTAATCGGAGGGCATTATTTTGTACTCTGTCAAGAGTCTCTAGGTTAGTTTTGGAGCAAGTTGTAAGCAGTGAGTTGTTGTACTCTATCACAGAGCGAATATATCCTAGATATAAGCCCCTCAGAGTTTCCTTGTCTGATCCCTATGATGTACTTGCAAGTCTCTTTAATAACTGTAACCGCCTCAATGCCTTATTCCTTACGTTTTCAATATGATTCTTGAGGTTGAGCTGCTGGTTAAGTGTGACTCCAAGGTATGTGGGATGCTCTTCTTTCATCACTTGGTGTTTGTCTAACCTCAGGTTAATATTCTTCCTTGCTACTTGGTGGCTTTTGGTAAAGATTGTGTAGACCGTCTTTGCACAGTTAACCTTGAGTTTCCATCTTTGGCAGTACTCATGCAGTCTTCTAAGGTCTCCATTCAGTCTTTGGGCTCCACTTTCCACATTTTCATGACTCTGCCATATTGCTAGGTCATCAGCGTACAAGGCTTTTTCGGCCTTGATTTGTTTTGGCAGGTCATTGATAAAGATTAGGAACAGTGTACAGCTCAATGATGAGCCTTGTGGCAAGCCCTCCTCCAAGACTTCTTTAGAAGAGATTGCGTTGTGCATCTTAGTCTGGATTGTTCTATCTATCAGAAAGTATTCCACCCAGTTATACAATCTGCCATGTATTCCTATGCTCATCATCTTCATCACCTAGTGGCTGATCTGCTCAACATCATCTGGCTGCCTTTACTTCCCAAAACATTGCCTTATACCCATTTTAGGCTTGCTTGACCTGGGAAACAATGTAATTGTTTTTGTTTGTTATTTCGAATCTGCCTGGTGTGTATTAAACTTAGGACCTGTGGACTGGTAGGCCAGCATCTGTGACTTTGCCAACATCTATTCTATTTGTCAGGTGTAGGACTGAGACTATTCCAGCAACTTTGCACCTGAAAATGCTCCAGCACTGCAAAACTGTAGGCTGCTAACTTGAGTTGAGTCATGAAGCTCATCACAGCACTCGGGGCACTCCCATGTGTGCTCCCTCCTCATCTTCAGCAGCCATCGCAGAGTTCCAATACTGATGGTACCGGTCACAATCTGGTTATATGTCCGTCTTGCCTTTCCTCTGAGTGTAGTGAGCCGGCCAGACCCTCTGGTTACACCCAGGTGCCTCATTCTTTCCAGGCCATAATAATCTTCTTTCTCTACTGATTCTGTTGCTTATTCCCAAAGGGCCTTGACCACATCTGCCTTGTTATGTATCATCAATTCACCACCCGGTGGTGCAGATGCAGCCAGTCTTTCTGCCTTTTCATTACTCACTATGCTGGCATGCCTGGAGAAAAGATCCAAAGTATGCTCACTACCCATGACCTTTCCAGTGAAGCTTGCCACTCTGCTCGAAGCATTCCTTTGATGCTAACAGAGAAATCATCTACCCCTCACTCATGACAATGCTGTATGGTACACAGAGAGTTTCAGACTGCATGATAGCTTTAATCAAGGCTAATGGTCTCCTTATATACAGGTTGTTGTTTTTTTTTTGGTCAAAATAATTGAAGAAAAAGAAGAAGAAGTCTGGTACTAAATTTTTAAATAAGAATACATGTTTATATAACAGTGGACTGACCTAAACTGTTGTGGCTTTTATGCAGGTGGAAATATGTTTGCATCAATGCATGATATGGTCCCTTTGCCGCTTTCCTCAAGCCTTAATCCTTCACCCAATGAATGGAACAGATTACATCGCACTCCTTCTACCTTTCCATCCTGGCCGAGGTCAGAAACCGAGAAGGAACGAGAAAGAGAAGTAAGGAAAGAGGATGAACGAGAAAGGTAAGGGCAGCCAGATAGAACTAGTAAACAAGACAGTTTGACTTGGTTAATCTCGGCAAAAACTTGCCTCCATCTCCATGATGTCTGCTGGCCGGCCAGGTTTTTTTTTTCTCCAACAAAAATGTATTTACTTTGGCAGTATTTAGTGAGGACTGTTATCACAACAGTATCTCCTCCTCATTAGCTCGAAAGCGTCAAACAATTATACCATCAGTTGGCTATCTTCCGAATAACGGTCCCAAATTATTGAGGCAGAAAATATACCCTAACAGGGCCTCAGTCACGTGTCAATTGCTTACTTCTGGGGACTTCTGCCACCGCCGAGAGTATCCCCCACGCCGCTCACCCAGCGTGGATTGGGGCTAAACTATATGGCTGGGACTCACGAGCAGCCGCTACCGCATTTCCTGTAGCTGCCTTCATTTTATTTGCTCGTGAGTCCTGGCCATCTAGTTTAGCCCCAATCCACGCCGCATGAGCGGCCTGGGGAATACTCTTGGCGGTGGCAGAGAAGTCCCCGGAATTTTGCAATTTGGCGGCGGTGGTATAGTCCCCGGAAGTACGCAATTTACACGGGACTGAGGCCCTGTTAGGGTATATTTTCTGCCTCGATAATTTGGGACCGTTATTCAGAAGATAGCCCATCACTTTTGTGTAGATTAATCAAATAATTTGCCCCCATTAATGAAATTTTGTGCCCCTTCAGTGAAAGGCTAATGTCTCATGACATAAACATTTCGACTTAATATTTAAAGAAATATTCTTACGTTTGTTAATTGTCTCTGTCATATCATGTTAGGAGAGTGTACGCTCAGTGCACAGATAATAGTGAGATATATAGATTGAACACAAATTGCATGCCTATTAGGGTAGATCTTGTAATTTAAAAAAAAATTGTTGACAGAATAGTGGCCAATAAGGCAATCTGTTTCAGTCAGTCCAGTGTCATTCTCACAAATGATATTACCTGCAGATCTCCAACATTGTATGTCTCTTGCCATGGTTGTATTCTCTAGCAGACTGCTGTTTGTCTTCTGCCATGGTGGGACACTCTCTTAGAGTGCTGTTTGTCTTCTGCCATGGTGGGACACTCTCAGACTGCTGTTTGTCTTCTTCAATGGTGGGACACTCTCAGAGTGCTATTTGTTTTCTGCCATATTGGGACACACTCTCAGAGTCAGCTGCTTGATATTATCCTGGTAGATTTTTCCGCTGAAACATTTGCCCAGATTGCAGGCTGTTAGTTCTTTTGGTACTCTTCTTTTCTTTTAAAAAAAATTCTTTTATTTATCAACTTTTTATTACTTGAATGCATTATTTACTGAATAAGTTGAGGGGGGGGGGGGGGGGGGGGGGGGAGATCACTTTATGATATTGAATTACTGATTACTGAATGAGTTAAGAACCACAGAGTTCTGGTTGCTGTTGCCAGCTCATGCAGTCAAGCTAACATTTATGAGCAAGTGAGCAAGAAATAGACAATGTTACAAGTGGGAGGATAACATAAAGAGTTGGACGAACAGCAATCGATCAACTGCAGCCAGCCTTTATTATGGAGATATCATCTGATTGATTTATTTCATCACTTTAAGATTGATTCTGATCCCACGTTTATATCATGGTAAATTCAAGTCAGCTGTGGATATTTATGCAGAGTTAACCAGCATAAGGAATCTAAAACACAGAACCGTTGAACAAGAACAAATAATTTTTAAGAGCATGTCTATTATCAGTGGCTACACAGGGATATTCATTATAGAGCACTAACACTAGAGAAGAAAATCTAGGCTTGAGAACTTTCACGTTGCACACAATTATATTTTTGTTTTGGTAACCTTTTTTTTTTTACTTTTTTTATTAATTGCAGGGAAAGAAGGGGATCTTTAAATCATCAATTATCAGGACTTGATGACAGTCGACACAAAGATACAGAATCTTTGAGGCCAAAATCTAGGTCGCGGTCTCGGTCACCTGTAGGAAATGGTCGCATTGACCACCACAGCAAGTCAGACCTCGGGTCGTACGAGAAGCTCTACGATGACAGAAGACCACATTCAACATCAGCAGCATGTGCAAGTTCCAGATTCAAGGAAGACAGGAGAAGTGATGAAATGTCATCACTTCCTCACCATCTAGCAGAAAGGGAGAAACTTGAGAGATTTCACAGAGAGAAGCTGGAGAAAGACAGGTTTGAAAGAGAAAGACATGAAAGAGACAGAATAGAAAGAGAAAGAATAGAGAAAGAGAAGTTGCTGCAGAGTGCAGCAGCGGCGGAGAGAGAGAAACTGTTACAGGTTATGGAACAAAGAGAGAAGTTTTTTCACACAGGTGGATATTTAGGCTTCAGCCCTTTTACCACAGGGTTGCCCACCCACCCAGGATTTCTTGACCGTAGAATGGGACTTATGGGACCCACTACATCAGGATATCCATTTTTAGAACGAGCTCCAGTGCCCACCGCGATGTGGAACCCTTATGACAAATCTGCAGCAGACATCTTCCACCGGCTGGAGGTCGAGAGGGAGCGTGAACGTATCGCAATGATGTCTCGGCTTTCCAACATCCCATCCCACTTGGCAGTTTTTGAACAGGAGAGACTCAAGGATCATATACTCCGGGAGCAACAAGAGAGAGAGTATGAGCTTCGAAAACAATATCTCGACAGGGTTCCTGCATTTACTGCGGAGCGCTTGCGAGCGGCAGATCCATTGGCACTTGGTGTCTACTTCCCTCGGACAGTTAGTCCCATGTTTGTACCAGGAGGACTTGCTAGCCTCAAAAGTAATTCTCCACATGGTATACCTGGAGTGCCACCACCACTCATTCCATCGTCCAGCTCTACAGTTGCAGCTTCAATGCTGTCAGCTCGAAGTCACGACAACTCTCCATCTTCTTCAAGTAAATCAAAAGGATGTAGTCCTGCAGATAGTACCAGTGATTTGAAAGACAAAAGAGAAGGAAGTTCAACAGATCCGGATGCCCACTCTAGGTAGTTCATGAGAAATGTGTCTTCTCTTGAGTACCATTTGTTAACTATACAAATCTGATCAGCTGATCTGTTTGTTGGGACTTCAGAAACCTGGTGATAGCTGAAATATGACTACAGTCAATACGTTCGTTACACAGCATAATTTATATGTTCTGAAATTATGAGCATTGTACAGATTATGTTTATAGGTCATGGCTTTCTCTCAAGTCTGTGATGTGTGAATTGTTGGGATTGAGTTCCAGTTGGTGATTTCACAGTTTCAGTGGGAAAATGTTTTACACATTAGAATGATGATCTCCACTCTCTAAAGGTTGCATTTCTTCTGTCAGTGGGAGGAGATCCTAGTTTTTCAATTTGACCTGATGAATGAGGAGTAGGAGGAGATCCTAGTTTTTCAATTTGTCCTGATCCCTCTCATGCTTAGTGTTCACTGTGACAGAAAGTTCTAGTTGTGCGTCCACTTCTGGGCTTTTTCTTGTTTCAGAACTTGCATATTGTGTGCTGCAACACTTTACAAATCTAGCTTTTTATTTTTTTGTAAGCAGACTTCTGGCTCATCACGTCTCAGGCCGAAGCACTCTGGCTGGGAATTAGTTTGACCTGATAAATGAGTTTAGAAACAGGAGATCCTAGTTTTTATATGTGCTGTGATGAATGGGACAGTAGGAGGAGATCCTGGTTTTTATATGTGCTATGATAAATGGGACAGTAGGAGAATATCCTGGTTTTTATATGTGCTATGATAAATGGGACAGTAGGAGATCCTGGTTTTTATATGTGCTCTGATAAATGGGACAGTAGGAGGGGATACTAGTTTTTATATGTGCTCTGATAAATGGGGCAGTAGGAGGAGATCCTAGTTTTTATATGTGCTCTGATAAATGGGACAGTAGGAGGGTATCCTAGTTTTTATATGTGCTTTGATAAATGGGACAGTAGGAGGGGATCCTAGTTTTTATATGTGCTCTGATAAATGGGACAGTAGGAGGAGATCCTAGTTTTTATATGTGCTTTGATAAATGGGACAGTAGGAGGGGATCCTAGTTTTTATATGTGCTCTGATAAATGGGACAGTAGGAGGGGATCCTAGTTTTTATAATTGTCCTGACAAATGGTACAGTGGAGGAGATCTTAGTGTTTATGTTTAATCTGATGAAAAAAGTAGGAAGATATTCTACTTTTTATAAAGGTAAAGGTAAAAGGTAAAGTTGGTAGATGTGAACCAGCGTCATTGCACACGGTTATAAACCATAAGTGCTCTGCCACCCGTACGGATAGCTGATAAGAATTGTCCGCCTGTGTCGCCGTTCGCATGTAACTCTGTAGCTAGGGCAACGTTCCTCCATTTACCCCAGAGTGTTACTCTACTACCCATTTCCTAGAGGCTGGGTGAACCACGGGAGCTGCCCGATTTCGAACACCGACTGTGGGCTGCAGTAAGTCGCAGCTGGATTTGAAAGCGAGCTTTTTATCGATTGCGCTAACGCAGCCCTCATCCTACTTTTTATATTTGCTTTGATGAATAAGAAAATAGGAGGAGATTCTACTTTAATGTTTGTCCTGATAAATGAGACATGAGGACGAGTTCTTATATTTTCTCTGATAAATGAGATAGCTAGAGATCATAGTTTTTATTTCTGCTCTGATGAACGAGCCAAAAGGAGGAGATCCTAGTTTTTATATTTCCCCTGATAAATGACAGTAGGAAGAGATACTGGTGTTGATATGTCTCCTTATGGATGAGAAGACTTGAAACAGCATAAGAATTGTAATCCAGTCAGTAACAGTACTAAACTTTTTTGTGTTCATTTCTGCAAGTCTCTTAGATATTTTTACTTGTAATTAATTTACTTCTGCATTGTTCTCCTGTTGTCTGTTTATTAGAAGTTTTTACATTCTGTTTGCTTGTCATTGGGAAAGTGACTTTTAGACAGATAGTAACAGTGTTTTATAAAATTGTTGTGTGCAAAAGGAAGAAAATGTGAGGGCATATAAATACTATGATAGACCTTAGGATATATCTGCTGGATTAAAGTATTTGTTAAATTAAAGAAAAACAAGTTACAAATTCATTTATTATATATATCTTTCCAAATAAGGTCCTGCGTCAGTCGCTGAAATATGTCAGAAAATTAACTCTCAAGAATTTTTTTTTTGGTCTCATGCCTGTGACAGAAGTTTGAGAAACTCTCATACATATGTCAGAAGATTTGAGAACCTGTCATGCATATGTCAGAAGATTTGAGAATCTCTCACGCATATGTCAGAAGATTTGAGAACCTTTCAGATGGCAGAAGATTTGAGAACCTGTCATGCATATGTCAGAAGATTTGAGAACCTTTCAGATGGCAGAAGATTTGAGAACCTGTCATGCATATGTCAGAAGATTTGAGAACCTCTCATGCATATGTCAAAAGATTTGAGAACCTCTCATGCATATGTCAGAAGATTTGAGAACCTCTCATGCATATGTCAGAAGATTTGAGAACCTTTCAGATGGCAGAAGATTTGAGAACCTGTCATGCATATGTCAGAAGATTTGAGAACCTGTCATGCATATGTCAGAAGATTTGAGAACCTCTCATGCATATGTCAGAAGATTTGAGAACCTCTCATGCATATGTCAGAAGATTTGAGAACCTCTCATGCATATGTCAGAAGATTTGAGAACCTCTCATGCATATGTCAGAAGATTTGAGAACCTCTCATGCATATGTCAGAAGATTTGAGAACCTTTCTGATGGCAGAAGATTTGAGAAACTTTTGTGCATATGTCAGAACTTTTAAGAATCTATCATGCATATGGCAGAAGATTTGAAAACCTCTTAAATGGTTGAAGTTTTGAGAACCTCTCACATGGCAGAAGATTTGAGAACCTTTCTGATGGCAGAAGATTTGAGAATCTCTCATACATATGTCAGAAGATTTGAGAAACTCTCATACATATGTCAGAAGATTTGAGAACCTGTCATGCATATGTCAGAAGATTTGAGAATCTCTCATGCATATGGCAGAAGATTTGAGAATCTCTCATACATATGTCAGAAGATTTGAGAACCTTTCTGATGGCAGAAGATTTGAAAAACTTTTGTGCATATGTCAGAACTTTTAAGAATCTATCATGCATATGGCAGAAGATTTGAAAACCTCTTAAATGGCTGAAGTTTTGAGAACCTCTCACATGGTAGAAGATTTGAAAACCTCTCACAAGGCAGAAGATTTGAGAACCTCTCACAAGGCAGAAGATTTGAGAACCTCTCACAAGGCAGAAGATTTGAGAACCTCTCACAAGGCAGAAGATTTGAGAACCTCTCACAAGGCAGAAGATTTGAAAACCTCTCACAAGGCAGAAGTTTTGAGAACCTCCCATGCATATGTCAGAAAAGATTTGAGAACCTCCCATGCATATGTCAGAAGTTTTGAGAACCTCCCATGCATATGTCAGAAAAGATTTGAGAATCTCCCATGCATATGTCAGAAGATTTGAGAACCTCCCATGCATATGTCAGAAGATTTGAGAACCTCTCATGCCAATGACAGAAAATTTTAAAACCTCTCATGCATATAGCAAAAGATTTGAGAACCTGTCATGCGTATGGCAGAAGATTTCAGAACCTCTCATGTGTATGACAGAAGATTTGAGAACCTCTCATGTGTATGACAGAAGATTTGAGAACCTCTCATGTGTATGACAGAAGATTTGAGAACCTAACATGTGTATGACAGAAGATTTCAGAACCTCTCATGTGTATGACAGAAGATTTCAGAACCTCTCATGTGTATGACAGAAGATTTGAGAACCTCTCACATGGACAGAAGATTTGAGAACCTCTCATGCATATAGCATAAGATTTGAGAACCTCTCACATGGACAGAAGATTTGAAAACCTCTCACATGGACAGAAGATTTGAAAATCTCTCACATGGACAAAAGATTTGAGAACCTCTCACATGGACAGAAGATTTGAGAACCTCTCATGCATATAGCATAAGATTTGAGAACCTCTCACATGGACAGAAGATTTGAGAACCTCTCACATGGACAGAAGATTTGAAAACCTCTCACATGGACAGAAGATTTGAAAATCTCTCACATGGACAAAAGATTTGAGAACCTCTCACATGGACAGAAGATTTGAGAACCTCTCATGCATAGAGCATAAGATTTGAGAACCTCTCACATGGACAGAAGATTTGAGAACCTCTCACATGGACAGAAGATTTGAAAACCTCTCACATGGACAGAAGATTTGAAAACCTCTCACATGGACAGAAGATTTGAGAACCTCTCACATGGACAGAAGATTTGAAAACCTCTCACATGCACAGAAGATTTGAAAACCTCTCATGTACGTGGCACAAGATTTGAGAACCTCTCATGTACGTGGCACAAGATTTGAGAACCTCTCATGTACGTGGCACAAGATTTGAGAACCTCTCATGTACGTGGCACAAGATTTGAGAACCTCTATTGTACGTGGCACAAGATTTGAGAACCTCTCATGTACGTGGCACAAGATTTGAGAACCTCTCATGTACGTGGCACAAGATTTGAGAACCTCTCATGTACGTGGCACAAGATTTGAGAACCTCTCATGTACGTGGCACAAGATTTGAGAACCTCTCATGTACGTGGCACAAGATTTGGGAGCTATTATGCACTTGCCTGATAGTGTGATTCTGTTTTTTTTTTTTTACAATCTTGCATATCTGTTGACAGGTTTGATAATCTTACATGACATATAATGAAATCTGACACATAGATAGTGAAAGATTCACAACTGTTGATGACCTGGTGTCCATATATCCAGCGTCTCATGTATATTCCTTTTCTTGCCTTAGGCGCATCAGGCATATGAGAAAAGCATCCAATATTTTTACAGGCCACTTGGCACTAGGTGGATAATGTGGTCAGCATTACGCCAGCTGTCTTTACTTCCCCAGGACAGCCATCCTGGTAATCATTTTAGGCTGGGTCGACCTAGGAGACCCCATACCATGATA